ATCTACCTCAATCCCCTGCTTGGAGATCTTGTGCCTGAACACAACCCCTCATGAACCATAAAATGGCACTTCTCTCAGCTGAGTGCCAGATTAGTCTCCTCACACCTCTTCAGAACAAGTTCCAGGTTATGGAGACAATGAGTGAAGGAGTCTCCATAAACCGAGAAGTCATCCTTGAAGACTTTCATGATCTCTCCGACTAGTCGGTCGAAGATCGCTAGCATACACCTCTGGAAAGTCGCCGGTGCATTACATAACCTTAATGGAATCCTCCGGTAAGCAAAAGTACCAAAGGGGCAAGTGAATGTGGTCTTCACCTGATCCTCTGGCGCGATAAGAATATGGAAATAACCAGACATGCCATCCAGGAAGATATAAAACTCATGGCCAGCCAACCTCTCCAGCATCTGATCAATGAAAGGTAGGGGAAAATGGTCTTTCCTGGTGGCGTCGTTCAGGCACCTATAATCAATGCAGACTCTCCAGCCGGTCACAGTCCGCATCGGGATCAGCTCGTTCTTCTCATTTGGGACCACGGTCATCGCGCCTTTCTTTGGGACCACCTGAGTGGGGCTGACCCACTTGATATCAAATATAGCAAAGATGATCCTTGAATCCATTAACTTCACAATCTCTACCCGGAACACTGCCTCCAAGTTAGGAGACAATCTCCGCTATGGCTGCCTGACTGGCTTAACCTCATCCTTCATCAGAATTATGCGGGAGCAGAAGGATGGGCTAATGTCTCTGATATCTATTATCTTCCACGCCATGGCCCGGGCATACTTCTAGAGCAGAGCCACCAGCCTGTTCGTCTGCTCGGGTGTCAGATCCGACCTGATAATAACCGAGAGCTTATTCCCCTCCGAGAGAAATGCATACTCCAGGTGAGAGGGGAGGGGCTTAATCTCCAGCTCCGGTGGCTCCTCCAATGATGTGGCGATCCAGGGCGAGATAGGGATCGGCATGAAAGGTTTCTCTCGCCCCTCGATCGCGGCCTCGTCTAGCTCCGCGAGCTGCCCCTCCAGCTGCAACTCCTGTGATGCCTGTTCCCCTAGCAAAAGACAACGTGATATTATCCCAAATATCCAACTCTACACGTTTAAATTACTTGTCGAGGAAGCTATTGAAGTTGGGAAGAAGAAAGACAGAATTTGGTTAAGTGTTGGGTTAGTTTCAGGAAGCCTACTTTGAAAGCTTGTATCTCACAAATGACTCAATGGAAATTAGAGATCAAGAGCTTGTTTTATAGATAAAGTTTCCATGTTTTCAATGGTATGCTTTTTGGATCCATATGATGTCATTAAGGTTGTTTTCCAAGGCCTCAAAGTTGTAATCTCAAAACTGGAAAACTGCCTGAAAATGGCTAAGGCAGAAAACTGTTTTGTGAAGCCTACTTTGGAGCTCAATTCAAGGAGCATGGAGGGGATTCAAGGCAAATGGCTTACACAACATGAAACTAGGTATGTTTGTGAACAAAGGGAAGGAATTGGATGAAGAATTGGAGTTCTGGAAGGCCTTGAACGAATGGCGTGAAGTCAGTACGAAAGCTGCCTTTTGACTGTTTTGCTGGCAGCTTACTTGTGCATCAAGAAAGGAAGTTTGTGGCCGAGTTTTGTACAGCTTTTAGAGTTTTTTTTTACCTTAATTGTTTCCTAGGTACATTAGGTTTGTATTAGGTTTATTTGCCTTTAAATACCCTTCTATTTACGTTGTAAAAACATAAGACTTTGTTGAATAGAAAAGAAACCGTTTGGTTTGTGCAAGTTGCGACTTGTTTTGGGTTTGGTGGTTTCCAAACTAGCTGAGCTTGTGTATCGATTGAATAGTCACCTCAATCGTGGTCGAGAAACTACCATTCTATACCAATCGAGCGTTCCCCAAGTGTGGAATCGTCCTTTTGGTTCTATTTTATCCAAGTTCGTATTAAAAACGCTTTGTTCTTGATTCAAGCTCAATCGATTCATCGATTGAGTCGTTAGTTGCGTGACTTTGATAACATACACCCCCAGGGGCGTATTAAGTGGTATAAGAGCCCCATTCTACACAAGGGCAACGAGAAGGCAATTTGAGTGGGTTGAGGTTGTGCAAATCAATTCTGCACTTGCTGGAAAACAGGACAACCCTGTTTTGTGCCGCTGCTGTTGCTGTTTTGAACTGCGAATTCCATGGCTATTTCATTCCAGTAGAGGGCGATGGTAGAGGGAAACAGTGAGGCCAAAATGCTGCAAATTTGTGGCCAAAAGATGCATCCAGAAGTCGTCATCAAACACCGCGAATCCGACCAACAACGGGATCATCTATTTCATAGCCGTTGTTTAGTCGACGGGAAGTTATTGTTGCTTGTGATCTATGGAGGCTCTTGTTCAAACGTTATCAGCTTATACGCTGTCCAAAAGCTTGGATTAACAACGCACAGGCATCCAGAGCCTTACCAACTCAGCTGGCTTAACGAACACACACGATTAATGTCACAAAGCAAGCCGTGGTTCGTTTTCAAATTGGCAGTTACGAAGACGAGGTTAATTGCGACGTGGTGCCAATGAGTTGTGTTCATATGATGATGGGAAGACCTTGGCAGTTCGATCGCGAAGTTGCCCATGATGGCCGAACTAATCGATACAAAGTCAAGCATCACGGTAAGAAGTTTGTGCTGATTCCCCTTTCTCCGGATGAATTTTATGAGGATTTGAAGCAGATGGAGGAGAATCGAAACGAGGGAAAAAGCGTACGAGCTCAGTTATGGGTGCAGAGGCGAATGGGGTTCAGTTTCCTGAGCTTTCAAAAGCTCCTTACAGCAGTTACCGTGCCGGAACAGACAGCTAGTCCTGACCCCTATTTTGCCCTCTAAAAACACTGCGCCGATCCCATTCCTTCTAGCTCGTCCGGCGACGAAGAAGGAAATAAAGCGCGCAAAAGGGATCTGAGGCGTTTGTAGAGGTGGATTCCAAACTGGCTGAGCTTGTGTATCGATTGAATAGTCACTTCAATCATGGTCTAGCAACTACAATTCTATACCAATCAGCGTTCCCCAGGTGCGGAATCATCCTTTCGGTTCCGTTTTATCCAAGTTCGTATTAAGAACGCTTTTTTCTTGATTCGAGCTCAATCGATTCTTCGATTGAGTCGTTAGCTGCGTGACTTTGATAACATACACCCCCCAGGGGCGTATTAAGTGCTATCAAAGCCTGCCGAAATAGAGTTTGGACTCTGGTAGCCCTGCCGACTACGAGAAGGGAAACCCAGAGCAGGCTGAAGCTTCCAAAGCATCCCTGGAGATTTAAGGAAGGACGGCGAGGCACGAAAAAGGCCCGGAGCAGGTCACCGACGGACAAATCGTTCTAGTGACGAGCCAAGCAGAGTTCCAATCCGCCCCGCAAAATAGAGTAAGAGAGAGGGTGAATTGGGGGGAGCAACCGGTGAACCTTCAAACTTCGCCATCATTGCCAAAACGCTTAATCAGACCCTAGAAACGTTAGAAGATGCTTTCTTGGAGTCGATTGCACCTGGATTTGACGATCCAATCTTCAAAAAAACGCCTCTGTTTTTGACAAAAAACGAGGACAAGGACCCTCTATTGGGTCGCGCAAACTAGATCCATTCAAGTCGAATCAATGTTGCGGAATCATCACAGGAGGTACAGGGAACGTGTAGAAGCATTCAATTTGTTTCGAGTAAGTCTGACTCGAAAAAGCCCAATTTGGGATTGATAATTCTGGGATCCCGATTTTCGAATTTCGGCAACGGCGACAAGAGGGAACTCGTCTACTTGACGACGATGGTGATGCTTCGAGCAATGGGAAGGTTCCCGAATTACAATTGGCGGCCTGGAGAATCTCCTGGGGTACTCGAATTGGTTTGGGGATGCTTCAATTCAAAACCCCCAATTGTGATGAAGAACTTGCGCCGGACTGCAGCCGACGATCTGTAAATTGCTCCGATCAAATCTCGGTGAAATTGAACGACGAGAAAGGTTTGTTTCGAGCCCAGGGAGAGTGTCCAACTACTATGCAAGTTTCAAAATCCATGGAGAAGCTTGGAGGTGAGTTTGAAGCTGAAAATTTTATGTCGAAAAAGATGATTAAGCAGCCCTGTTTTGATCCAATTTGGGATCAATTTTGTGATCAGTTTGAGAAACAAAAGGCTAAAGTGTTGAGGGAAACACTTTTTCAAGAGGGAGGGCCTGATATGATCCCAAATATCCAACTCTACACGTTTAAATTACTTGTCGAGGAAGCTATTGAAGTTGGGAAGAAGAAAGGCAGAATTTGGTTAAGTGTTGGGTCAGTTTCAGACAGCCTACTTTGGAAGCTTGTATCTCAAAAATGGCTCAATGAAAATTGGAGATCAAGAGCTTTTTTTACAGATAAAGTTTCCATGTTTTCAAGGGTATGCTTTTTGGATCCATATGATGTCATTAAGGTGGTTTGCCAAGGCCTCAAAGTTGCAACCTCAAAACTGGAAAACTGCCTGAAAATGGCTAAGGCAGAAAACTGTTTTGTGAAGCCTACTTTGGAGCTCAATTCAAGGAGCATGGAGGGGATTCAAGGCAAATGGCTTCCACAAAATGAAACTAGGTATGTTTTTGAACAAAGGGAAGGAATTGGATGAAGAATTGGAGTTCTGGAAGGCCTCGAACGAATGGCGTGAAGTCAGTATGAAAGCTGCCGTTTGACTGTTTTGCTGGCAGCTTACTTGTGCGTCAAGAAAGGAAGTTTGTGGCCGAGTTTTGTACTGTTTTTAGAGTTTTTTTTTACCTTAATTGTTTCCTAGGTACATTAGGTTTGTATTAGGTTTATTTGCCTTTAAATACCTTTCTATTTACGTTGTTGAATAGAAAAGAAACCGTTTGGTTTGTGCAAGTTGCGACTTGTTTTAGGTTTGGTGGATTCCAAAATTGCTGAGCTTGTGTATCGATTGAATAGTCACTTCAATCGTGGTCGAGAAAATACCACTCTATACCAATCGAGCGTTCCCCAGGTGTTGAATCGTCCTTTTGGTTATGTTTTATCCAAGTTCGTATTAAGAACGCTTTGTTCTTGATTGGAGCTCAATCGATTCTTCAATCGATTCTTTGATTGAGTCGTTAGCTGCGTGACTTTGATAACATACACCCCCAGGGGCGTATTACAACGCTTGAGGAAATCGTCAGTACCCGCACTCGTGATGGCGAGTGCGGTCTCAAAATCAGCAATAACATCACAGTAGTCTAAATCATCATGGATCTGGGGGTGTTTCATATTATCAGAAACAGAGAAGGTGATTTGTTCACCCCCAGCTCGCAAAATTAATTTCCCATCATTCACATTAATGAGCGCCTTGGCGGTGGCGAGAAAAGGTCTACCCAGTATTAAAGGCACATCCACATCCTCATTTATATCAAGAATCACAAAATCAACAAGATATGAGAATGACCCTATTGCGACTATCAAGTCCTCTGCAATGCCCCTAGGATGCACAATGGATCTATCAGCAAGTTGAATGCTCATCCTAGTATTACTAGGTTCACCTAGGCCTAGCTTTTTATACAGTTTATATGGCATGACATTTATGCTAGTGCCTAAATCCGCCAAGGACTTTCCTATCTGCAAACTACCAATCATGCAAGGGATAGTAAAACTCCCTGGGTCTTTGCGCTTCTCTGTTAGTTTGTTCTGCAAGATGACAAAACACTCCTCGTTGAGCACCACCATTGACATCTCCACAAGCTTCCTCTTGTTGGTGAGGAGATCCTTCATGAACTTGGCATACTTGGGCATCTTCGATACTGCCTCCACGAAGGGCATGCTTATGTTTACCTGCTTTAGCATATCCATGAACTTTCTCCATTTCCTCCTCATTAGCTGGAAGTGCTGAAGCATAGGGGTGGGAAACGGTGCGGTCCGGTCCAGACCATAGATACGATCTGTGGTCCAGACTGAGATGTTGGAATACAGACCATGGACCAGACCAGACCACACCTGTGTGGTGCGGTCCGGTATGGTCTGGACCAGACAAACCATGTTAAAAAAAAATTAACTCTTGTTCGCCCTCCAACCCTTCGTCAGTATCTATAAAAATAAAAATTATAGTGACCAATATGCTATTGAAACAAAAAAAAAGTGATCGTAATAAAATGAGAAGAAATATGAGGATAGAAGTGGGTTTTTTCAATTTTCAAACACACACATCAAATAGCCTTGTTTCCCTATTCCTCTTTGTGCTACCGCTTCTCTCCTCTCTCAAGTGATCTGAAGGTTCTCCCGGTTGATAACCTTTGTGATGTGTCGCGGTATATTGAACCATTAAAATGGTCACATATCTCTCAATAATTTTTCTTATCTCATCAAGGTGAACGAATTTTTTTCTATCGTTTAATTTTTATCGACTTCATAGTCTAGACATTGTCTGTGAATATTATTTATGAGTCTTTCTGGTTTTGGTGTGGTTTTTTGATAAGGAGATAACAAATAAACGATCATTTGACAATTTGTTGGCTCTTAACTAGATGAAGAATCAACTAACTTTGTTATTCAAATACACAAATGGAGGTTCAATTTAGTGTTATTTTTATCCGAGTTAGTAGGTAATGTGTCGCGGTCTGTTACGGTTTACTGTGGTAGACCGCGGTCCAGACCACGCACTAAAGGAGGAGACCGCAAACCAGACCAGACCATAGTTCTGGTGTCGCGATCCAGACCAAACCATACGATACGGTTTAGACCACGGTTTTCCATACGGTTTGGTCTAGATTCACAGCCCTACTGAAGCAGGGGTCTCCCTCTCTTGTGCCCGAACAGGTGGATCAGCAGTCACCTTGCCACTCCTGGTGGTAATGGCCTTGCAGTGCTCATTTGGGTCTTGCGGATGGGTGATGGTCTGACCGGGTAAAGTACTAGGTGTCCTCTAGGCTACAGCCTGTGCCACACTCTCAAGCTAGGTCTGAATATCCCGCAGCATAGCCTGCGTGTTCCTCTGGCCAGCTTCTAGCTCCAAGAATTTACCTGAAGCTTTCTCCATGAACTGCTCGATATTATTGAACTTGTTTGCACTGGAGGTGGCTAGAGAACCCACCAGATCTCGCAATTCTGCCATCATATCACTCTGCACTAGGGCTGTGAGGACTGCCCCTGGCTGATGAAATGGCCGCACCTGTGACTGAGGAGGAACTGGCCCCTGTCTGGGCACGTAAAGAGGCTATTGTTGCTGAAATTGCCCTTGTTTGGGCTGGTAAGGAGGCCTCTGGAAGCCTGGCGGTCATTGGGAGACTGGTGGTCTAGGATTGGCCCCAACCCTGGATACGTTGGGATGCTGGCACCACCCCTCGTTATAAGTGTTGCTGTAGGGGTCGAAACACCTGGCATTGCCGATGAAGTCCACCTGCTCCTGAGGAGTAGACAACTACCTCATCGCCTGACAGTCCTCCATGGTGTGATGAGAGCTTTCACACCACTGGAAATGCATCGCCTGCTACTGTCATGTACCTGAAATCATTCCAGAGCCATCGATGGATGAAACCAGTTTCGATACCACCTACACCAAATTAGACGATTAGGTGGCTACAACATGCACACCCCGCCCTGGTGCTCGTCTCGATCGCCTCGTAGTTCCCCAATCATAGCCCTGCTCTGTCATCTCTTCAAAAAGATGATTCATCTGCGGCGCTGTCTAGGAGAGCATATTCTCGCCGCAAACTGAGTCAATCAGCTGCTTGTCTTCCGGGAAGAAGGCATGGTAGAAGGTGTCCACTTTGAAGGCGTCAGTAAAACCATGATTGGGACAGTTGAGGAAAAGACTCGTGTATCTTTCCCAAGCATCCCGAATGGTCTCATCTGCATACTGGCGAAGTAGGTGATTTGCTTCTACAGGTCCGCCGTCTTGGACGGAGGATGGTAGCGGGTGAGGAACTTGTCCTCCAGGTTGGCGAACGTGGTGATCGAGCCTGGAGGTCGAGTGTCCAACCACTCCTTGGCTTGCCCCTCCAGAGTAAATGGGAAGTACCTCAGCTGGATTGCATCGACGGGCACCGCATTGATCTTGATCCCATCGATGAGCTCGTGGAATTGCCTCAGGTGTGATCGGGGGCACTCCCCCTCCTTGCCACGGAATACCACCGAGCCGCGCAGCATGGTAATGACGGAGGTGCTCACCTCAAAGTTATTTGCTGGAACTTGAGGGTGCTGGATGGGTGACACGCCAAAACACAACACCAATCTGCGACCAAGTATAATCGCAGACCGGGAATGCAGTAACAGGCAAGTTATATTATCAACCCGGGGTCTAGATCTACTGCTTACTCAGTGATTCTCTGTTATCTAGCCAACTAAAGTAAGTGATTGTTGTTTAAAAACAAAAGCAGAAATAAAGCAGGAAATTATTCGGTTTTCTTAAGCAGGTAAGAGTCACTCGGGAATGAGTCCCCCTAGCTCCTTAGTTAGGTTCAATTGCAATTTACCTTGGGTTGATTTACTGTTGATTAGACTGCGGAAGTTCCGGCAGTAGCTTGGAATCTCTTAAGCTGACCAAGCCCTCTCAGTCTAACTACCCGGCAGACGACTAGTCTTCACCGGGATAGAAAGCTGAAGCAGTAAGAACAGAACTCCACTACTGGAATTGGATTCCAGTACAAAGCAGTCAACTGGCTAACTCTCGTATAGCCAATCTCCTACTACCGAATGATGAGACTCTAGCAACCTAATCAGATTCTATCTATCTCAGATTGCAGCAGGAATCAGGAAAAGTTGATCAGACTTCAATTGACTCAATAAACATGCATCATTCGATTAAAATCAAACATTAATATCATCCCAAGTCATTACAATCAATCCCTAACACATAGAACTAGGGTTCTTCATCCCCAAGTGAGAGAGGGGTTCTACTCCATAGAGAGAGAGAGAGGAAAACAGTAATAGGAGTAGTCATACTCATAAAGATGAGGAAAATATGCTCCGGGATGATGATTTCCACTCCTAGGACGATCTCCAAGCTTGATTTGATGAAACCCAGCTCCAAGATGGCTTCTAGGGTGAGTTCTTCGTCCTTTCTCTCTCTAGGGCTCTATTTTTGCTCAAGAAATTCGATCCTCTCTCTTGCAGCCCGGAATTGGGTTAAAACCAGGAAATCCCGACTCACACGGGCAAGGCCACACGGCCGTGTGGCATACCCAGTTGCCCGTGTGAGTCAAAATGCTGCGTTGCACTTAGTTCGATCTTCAGGCTTCTCACACGGCCAGCGTGGCACGGCCGTGTTTGATTTCCATCTGCCCGTGTCTGCTCTCGGCAAAAGTCACACGGCCAGACCACTTCTTCACACGGTCGTGTGAGTTGTCAGGGCAGGCCGTGTTTGCTCTCGGCAAAACTCGCACGGCCAGAAATATGAGCTGCACGGCCGTGTGATTTGTGGGTGTGCCCGTGTGGCCTCCTTTGTGACTTGCCTCGCGCCCGATCTTCGTCCAATCGACCCCAAACTCGCTCCCGAGCCTCCATTCACGTACTAGGACCTGAAATATCACAAACAAGCACAACCTAGCGTGAAATCGGCCTAAAACACGAGAAATCATATCTCAAACGGTGTAAGAACAGGGGTAAAAACATGTGTAATTAACGGTCTATCAAACTCACCCACACTTAACCGTTTGCTTGTCCCCAAGCAAACCAAGTCAGACACAAGGTAAGCTCACATATTTCAATCAACCAACATTGGGGACAAGTCATAAAGGCACAGAACACGTGAATCGTACTGGTTTTCAAACATCAATACATGAACAACCTCAATAGCAACCTGGACAACCACCACAAAGGACATTCGAGTGCAGCAAAATCGAGTAAAGGAAGAGTCTCCCTTCTGTTCACCAACCAACCTAGACTTGATTCAACCACTTACTCAAAACAGTCAACTCATGCATCCAACTCAAGACATCAGAATAGAGACCAAGCAATCTAGGTCCTCACCGGGGTACAAGAGTATATAGAATATGAAAATGAATCACTCACTCTCGACCAGTGGGGTCAGGACAATTTGATGCGAAAAATGCGCATGCTATTCTCTCAGTCCCTAACATCTCTTCACCATGATGGCAGCCTCTAAATGCTAGAGTTCACATATGGGGTGTCACCACTAACTAATCAGGAGGTCTTAGACACAGGTTCAAATGACTGGCTAGGGTCTTGGACATGGGGAAAAGGCCTTTTAGGTGGTGGAAGTATTCATAGCACAAGGTTCCACATTTCCAAACCCAAACAATCACAGTCAAACAAACCGGTATTTCCTTTCTGCTATTCTGCATTACTCAACATCTCAAGAGCACAAGAGCGAAGTAGGCATAAACATCCGCATTTCCAAGCCAGACTGCTAAGAAACACTACTTAATGGGCGTTATTCAGGTTTTTGGTAGTGGCTCTCTTTTGCTTTCAATTTTTCTTTGTTTTTCTTTCATTTATCTTTTCATTTCTTAAGAGAGCCACCACTTCTGCACATATTTCAAATACCTGCCCAACTTTTAAGCACTACCTCCAACACTCACATTCAATTTCGCAGAAACAGCAGAGAATCTGTAAAAACCACTCCGTGGAACCTTCTAAAAGATGCAAAAGGGTGATTTTTTTCATTATAGACCAAAAAGAAAGGATAACACACGCTCAAAGGGGCTGACTAGAGGGTATGATGAGGGCAAAATCATCATAGTTAAGGGCAAAATCAAACCTGGAGACTCAAGTAGAGGTGTAGGGGATGATGAGGGGAAGGCGATGGAAGCGACGAAAAGCCGAAAAAGTGCCCGAAAGTGCTCGTCGGAGCCTCGCCGGAGTCTCGCCGGAAATCTCCTCCGGCGACAAAAACGTCGGCCAAATCTCCTCAAAATGGAGGGATAGGCCGATTTTGGTGGAGGAAGGGTTGGTTTGTTGTTGGTTTGGTGAAAAGATGACAAAAAATGGCCGAAAAAATCAAAAAGTAGGGTTTTTGCGCGGTTTTCCGGCGAGGGGGAGAGGTTTCCGGCGAGGAATTTGAAACTTTCTAACGACCCGGCCGTGCTGGCCGAATATATAGGCCGTGTCTCGGCCACACGGCCAGACACGCACGGCCGTGTCGCGTGCACTTTTGCCCGTGTCGGCCGACACGGCCTGGCCGAGGAATGTCACTCGGCCGTGCCAAGTGCTCACCTGGCCGTGCCAAATTCTGCGAGAGCAGACACGGCCAGGGCAAACACCTACACGGCCGTGCCATAAAATGTTTAGCCCGTGTCGCCTGCACGGCCAGGCCAGGCCAATCCACACGGTCGTGCCAGCTGCACTTTTGGCCGTGTGGAAATTGTCGAGAGCTCACACGGCCTGGCCACTCCTTCACACGGCCGTGTGAGTTTAAGGCTTGGCCGTGTGAACTGCTGGAGCCCCAAAATCAACCTGTTTTCACTCCAAAACGGCCTTCGACTCTGGAACAACATCTCAAGACTCAAAAAACACAAAAAATCAAAAAGAAAAAGGTAAGAAAATGCAAACCTAGGTGGGGTTGCCTCCCCACAAGCGCTTCTTTACCGTCTTTTAGCTGGACGCCAGTCGGTGGATGCTCAGTGAGGTGAAGAAGCAGGTGCCTTCAAGAGCGGATCCACCTCGCTCTTGAGGTACAACTTCAAATGGTGGCCATGCACACGCTGAATGTGGCCACCAGCGTTTGCCAACTCAACTTGGCCATCCGGCAGGATGCAAGCGAGTGAATACTCGGATGGCCAAGGTGGGGGCGGGACCAGCTCATAGTGGTCTCCGGCTTTCTTTCGAGCAGGCTTAGCTGCCTGCTGTTTCGGCCGCCACTCCTCCTTGATTTGTTCCTTCGATGACGAAGTGGACGGGAGTGGCGGCGAAGGTATGGGAGGCGGATCCTGCAAAATAGGCAACACAGGAGGATACACGACAGACTCGTGCTCCTGGTGAGATACAGCATGCAAAGGTGACGAAGCAGGACGAGTATTAGAAATTGAAAACGCTATTCGCTCCTCACCACCCCTCAAAACTAAGGTCCCATCATGCACATCTATGAGGGCCTTGGCGGTGGCCAGGAAAGGCCTTCCTAGTATCAATGGCACATTCACATCCTCATTTATGTCCAAAATCACAAAATCAACAGGATAATTGAATTTGCCAACCTTAACCAGAAGGTCTTCCACTATGCCCCTAGGATGCACTACAGATCGGTCAGCTAATTGAAGGCTCATCCTAGTAGCATGGGGTTCACCTAGGCCTAGTTTCTTAAACAGTTTATATGGCATAACATTTATACTAGCACCTAAATCCGCCAAGGACCTCTCTACATGCAAATTCTCTATAGAGCACGGGATAGTAAAACTACCTGGGTCCTTCTGTTTCTACGGAAGCTTGTTCTGCAGAATGGCCGAGCACTCCTCGCTGAGCTCCACAGTGGCCAGCTCGCTCAGCTTCTGCTTCTTTGAGAGAAGATCCTTCAGGAACTTCGCATACTTAGGCATTTGAGATAGTGCCTCCAGGAAAGGCACTTGGACATTCAGCTTCCTAAGCATGGCCATGAAGTTCTCGAACTCTGCCTCCAGCCTGTCTTTGTGCAACCGAGTAGGGAAGGGGAGTTGAGGGATATACTCCTTCACTACTGGTTGCGGTTTAGGTGCAGGCAACTCAACCTCCTTCTCTGCTTCTTCTTCAGCTGTTGGAGATGCCGAGGTAGGGGCCTCTCTCTCTTGTGCCCGACACTACAACAGATTTGGCCTATTATGACAAAAATTATTTTTTGTCATTTCCAGGTTGTCACAATAGGGTGTGTAATATGACAAAACGCGACGTTGTCCTATTAGGTGTGCCTAATGTGACAACGTTGAGTTTTGTCATTACAGTTTGTCATAATAGGTGGGTATTGTGACAACTATCTTATGTCACAAATAATGTTGTCAAAATAGGCATCCCCAATCGGGATGTAGGAGACTCAAAAGTGACAACGTTAATCGTCAGAATAGAGTTTGTCATATTATACCGTCATGACATGTTCAAATGACAATGCCTATTGTCATAATAGACATTATTATTCCCACCGCGAGCTGACAAAATGCAGATTCGTCATAATATATTGGTTTCACTTTTTATTATGTCAAATTAGGTTGTCATGATACCTATTA